AAATTCTTTAGTTGTTTAACAACACTTAACCTTCAAAATAGTTTTGAAATTACAAAAATTTAGTCCAAGTAAGAGAATACCACAATTAGGCTTTCACAACCAGCCAAAGCACTATGAAAGTATTTCATCCATCTGAGTTTTTGGGCCACTTAATGAAACGCACAATTTGGCTATTTGAACTTTTAACCAGTATGCACAAGTGTGTTACGAAACAGCCAGTTTAGTTAGCTGGATCACCAGGCTAATATTGAAATGAATCTATCTAATCTATCTCTACCCCCCCCACAACCCCATGAAAAATACTTCATAAGTACCTTCAGAAACTCAACTGAATCAAGAAAATAAAGTTTTATACAAGAAAAGGAAAAATCCAACGCTTGGAAACAACTTTCGTAGTTGTAAAAATTGGATCTTTGAACTCTGACAAACTTGGAGTAAAAAAATTCTAGTTTAATGGATCACAACTACTTTCACTATACAACTACAAATAAAGTACATGAAAGATATCTGAAGTCCTGTACTAAATTTGAAGTGGATCCTAAAAAAAAAAAAGCCATGAAAACAGAGATGTAGAGCATGGCTAAAACGTGAGCATTTATTCCATGTTATGACAGTTATTGAAATAAAAGTTCTACTTGCCTTAATAAGTAGGATTCTTTGTTGATAGAAACTGAAGTCAGCACCCTTAACAATTTCCTTCATTTTTCCTAACAGAAACTACTGCATATGGAATCAATTATGTCACAGAATTGTTACTGATCAACTGAAACTCTTATCACCTTTGACTATTTCGCTCCAAGATACATCATCCAAATGCCAAAACCCAAGATGCCCTTACATCACATGTGCCCCAAATTTTAAAATAGCCACACATCTCCATATGCTATCAAGACAGGTCTCTTTCCCCCTTTACGTGGAATTAGAATTTCTCTCTTTACAATACACAGTCACGCTCCAAAACACAAAACACCCAAGCAGATCTCAGAATTTCAAGACATAAAAGCAACAAAAAAACTTAGGCATTTCGTATTTGGACTAACTGGTTAACATCAGAATAAAATTTAATTTTCTTCAAGAGCACTGTAGAACCCTTAGAGCTTAAAATTCCATTCTTTTACCCAAAATGGCCTATCTGGGATTCATTTCTGTACCACACAAGAACATTTTTGCAAATTTTGCTTAAATCTTATTTCTTTTTTTTTTCCTGGTACCAGGGATTGAACAGGGCACCACTGAGCTAAATCCCTGACCCCTTAATTTTTTTTTTTTTTTGGTGTTCAGTTTTGAACTCAGGACCTTGTGCTTAGAAGGCAGACGGCGGAACCAATGAGCTAAATCCCCAGCCCAGTCCCTTAAATTTTAAATCAAAATGTTTCCAGAAGTGTTTGATCTGCCAATGAACTCTAAGATATCTGCAAGATAGTGCTCTTTAACAAAGACCATTTGATTTTTGGACATCTTATGTTCCCCTAAACCTAATGAAACCACTAAAGAACTATTTTCCTACTAAAATGCCACAAAGACATTTACTAGGATATTTTAAATATAAAGACTCAGACAGCTGGAGGTTTAGCTCAGTGGTGCCACTGCGCCTATCTTGCAAGCACAAGGTCCTGAGTTCAATTCTCATGCCTAAAAAAAAAAAAAAAATTAAAAAAAAAATCTCAGACATTCTTCCACTATTCAGACCAGGATTTCCAAAGCAGTTCAACATACTAGCCAACAGTTTTAAAAAAGAGGGGGGGCCTAGGGGAAGAAAAAAACCCATTAATGTAATCAATACACAAAATTAATGTTTGGCATAAATCTACACAAGTGCCAGTTGTGGTGGTACACGCCTGTAATCCCAACACTCAGGAGGCTAAGGCAGGAGGATCGCCACAAGTTTGAGGTCAGCCTGGGCTACATAGTGAGTTCAAGCCAGCCTGAACTACACAGTGAGACTCCGTCTCAAAAATACAACCAATGACCAAACAATAACCAAAAACAACAACCACCCCGCCCCCCCCAAAAAAATTGGGCCGGGAATTTAGCTCAGTGGTTCCACTGCCTGCCTTGCAACCACAAGGTCCCGAGTTTGATCCCCGGAACCAAAAAAAAATCTACACAAGCACTGCACTTTAATACAAATTTCGGAATACTGCATCAAGAGTTGAGAACATCACATGTTCGGAAACTATCCACACCCAAAAGTAATGTGAAATAAGTGGGTAGTCAAATTGACATATCCTGTGAGGAGGATCAAGGAGTGTTAAATAATGGCGTTGAAATCTCATTTGATATACAAGGAAACTGAGACCTGGAAAGATTAAATAATTTGTTCCAGATCATGCAATTAATGATAGATCTGACCAATCTAAGCCTCCTAAACTAAATCTAATTCTCTAGTCACCCCAAATACAATAGTGAACCACACAACTCTAAATGTTCTTTAATAACTCAAAGGTCTTCATTGTCTTTGTATTGCATTATGCTGTGTGGTAGTCATTGGCTAGTTACAGTATCCTTATTTTTTAAGTCATTTTTTCAAATACCAAACATGAAAATAAACTCTGAAACCTGTAACAGAAGTATTAAACTTCTGAAAGATTGTTATCCATGAATTAAAATTTCCTTTAACAACCATAAAGATGAAACCAAACCTAACTCATCTTTTTTTTTTTTTTTGGTATCGGGGATCGAACTTGGGACCTTGTGCTTGCGAGGCAGGCAGCAGAACCACTGAGCTAAATCCCCAGCTAGCCTAACTCATCTTTAACAAACTATTTAGTTCCAATGTCTCCACATACTTTTTCAGTGGACAACCAGCATAAGGCATACACAATTGCCCTAAGCTTCCATCCTGCCATAAGGATGATCACACTCACAGATCCTCTCAGACCATTAGTAACACCTACTAGGGGAAAGGGAACAGGTGTTTCAGAAAGAACACTCATCACCTGAGCTCTCCATAGCAAAGGCCACCCCAAAACTAAAGCATTTCTGCATCTATAATACCTGTATTAACAGACTAAGCCCTCCCTTTCATTAGGAAAAGGCCCAGACAAGCCAACTAAGGAAATATATTGACACACACAAAACATAAATCATATTCCTTGTAAAGCATTAATCTTATTTCTAATAAAACTCCCCAAATCAGTTATCTCTGCTTTAACAAGAAAACTGAAACCAAATGTGATGTCAACTAAAGATTACACGGTAAATCAGAACCAAATTATCAATAAATATTACAAGTACTATAATGTCAAAAAATGAGGCTTTTACTCTAACCACAAAAAATAACTGTATACACAGTGTCTAGTGAGAAATGTTTCCTCTCCCTGATGTAAAGTAGTGTTTCTCCAAAAGCAAAGATCCTGAAGATAACTTTCACTTTTCAAAACCAAGGTCTGGGTTTAAGTCCAAATCGTTATCTAATATGTTTATACCAAAAAAAAATTTTTCTCTTAAAAAATGGGCCAGACAAGGGCCGGAATGTAGCTCAGTGGCCCCACGCCTGCATGGCAAGCTCAAGGTCCTGAGTTCGATCCCCACCACCGGGGAAAAAAAAAAAGAAAAAAAAAAAACCCAACAAAAAGAGCCATGCAACAACCACAGACTTTCAAAGCAAATTTTGATTTGAAAAATATTACCTATTGTTATCATGGATTTTATCTATGATTTTATTATGGCCTATGCATCTGCAATAAAATGTTCACTCTGTCTCTGACAAGATCCCGACTTTGGCGTCCTCACCAGACTTGGTTACTGAGCAGAAAAATCCAGGGGAAAATTCCTGACCGGCATTACTCTCAACTTTTTCTTTTTTCAGAGGTGTAAGTATTCGAGTTTGGAAAGTCCCAGAGCAGAACCGTATGTGCACCACTAAAACCCAGCCTCGGGAGTGAATTTAAGCTGGCAGAGGCCTCGTGGTCGGGGCTGGGGAGAGCGGGAGCGGAAGGTAAGACTGCGGAGAGCAGAGGCTGCCTCAGCGAACAGCTGCCCTCTCCGTCTGGGCTCCAGCCACCCACCGCGCCGCAGGCCCCCGGCGGAGCTTCGCGTTCACCCTGGAAGGTGGCACCACCGAGCCACGCAGGAGAGATGGGCAATTCACTGACGGCTAAGTGAAAGCCATCAAAGAAACCTGCGCTGGTGCAGCTGCCACAGCCCGCAGGGCGTCTAGGGGTGGGGATGGGGGGGCTCGGGCCCAGCAGGGGCTCAAGTGTCCGGGGAGCTGAAGGCCAAGCGCACGAGGACAGTGCAGCGCAGACAGCGGCCTGGCTCTAGGGAGAACGGAAGTGGACGAGACTGGAGTGGTCTGGGCCAGCGGGAGAGAGGAGAACAAGGCTGGGAGACAGTCACTCCCGCAAAGGCTCCGAGAATTCGGGGGAAGGAAAGAATGGGTGGAGGCCGCGAGACTGGGAGAGGCAGGGGAGCGCGGCTGGAAGATAAGCGGGGGCGGGGCTAGGTGGGAGCGGTGGGCGGGGCTCAGGGAAAAGTGAGGGGGCGGGGCGAAAGCAGAGCTGGGGGCGAGGGGAGAACGGAGGGGAGGGGAGAGTAGAGGAGGAACGGGGCGGGGTGGGGGGGACCAGGAGAGAAGCACCGGAGGAAAAGGAGGACCCAGAGCCAGGAAGGCGGGCCCGCAGAGAAGGGAACAGGGTCCCAGCGGGGGAAGTCGGGGGCAGGCTGGGGACGCGGGAGGGAAGGAAGGAAGCGGACGGGAAGCTGTGGAGCAGCACCCGCAGGGAGCAGAGGGGCCGTGGCCGGAGGCGTGGAGGCTGGGGGAGAGGAAGGGAAGCGAGGGCCAGGAGGGAGGGGCACAGATGGGGGTCCGAGAGGGGCGGAGCCTGCGGGGGCGGGGCAGGGAGGGCGGGGCCGGCGGGAATGGCGAGGGGCGCGCGTCGAGGAGGTGGCGGGGTCCCGGGACAGCGCCGGCGGGGGGGCCGCTCCCAGGGCGCCCGGTGGGAGACGGGGTGGGACAGGCAGGGGAGCCGAGGGCGGCGGACCTCCGCCGGCCGTACCTGTCAGGCGGATCTTAATGCTAGAGCCGTTTCTGCGCGTCCCAGGGTTCGACATCTCCCGCCAACGATCCGGCAGCCGCAGATCCAGCGCCGCCGCCGCTCCCCGGCCCGGCCCGGCCCGGCCCCGCCGCCGCCGCCTCAAGGTTACGGCTCCGGGCTGGGCGCCGGGGTCCGAGCCGGGACACGAACTCCGCGGCCCAGGCGTCCGGGCGACAGGCGGTGGGGTTGCCGGGGGGG